ATATGGCTAGTAAGCTCAGCTATTGCTTGCCCTTCGTCATCTATTTGAAGACAGCAATTGCTCAGGTTAAACTTCCCACATACACCTCCCTCTACTGCCAAAAGATAATCCAAGGCTAATCTATTTTGGTAAACTGCTGTCCTCATCCTGGTATTATGCTTCGCTAGAAGATTGAGCGCTTGTGATGTCTCGTTAGTAATGATCTCAACCACCGCCTGTAACCTTATAATGCGGTTGAGCATATAAATAGGGGTTCTATAACCAAAGGTACCATCCTCTGCCCACGTGGCTGGCCCATAATAATCTATAATACGCTGGGGAGGCCATTCATTATCTTCCCAGGCACCTATCTCTATGGGTCCCCTTTTCTTCCTATGATTCACATCATACACTTTAACACCTAAAGTCTCACCTGTTTCAATAGGCAACAAGAAGAAGGATGGTTTTAACATGCCCAACACACATGCCCCTTCCCAGTCCTGTGGTAACTCCGAATAGGCCTTCTTACCACAGATCCAGTACAAATTCGCTGGGGCTCTCCAGTTAGATGTGATGGATAGATCAAACCATACGTCCTTTAAATTGGCATATCTTGCAAGCGGGTTAGATGGTTCTGAGACATTTGAAGCCGACCACCAAGTTGTATTCTTTGTATCATCATCATAAGCTTTTTGCCCTAGACAAGTTAATTCTCCTACAGAAGTATTATACATCATTCCTTTCCTCGCTATGCAAACATAACCTATGATGGAGGTCTTCAATCTCCACTCAGATTTACCTCTAACACTCATATGATAGTCGGCTTGTGTAGATATTAATTGGTCAACTGCCTCAGAACCGGACATTACCTCCTTTGCTTCCCAAGGCCATTGGTCTCCCATGTTAGTACCTCCACACACATAGCAGTTGGTAACATTAAGACTACCGGCAATACTCTCGGCTAAATCAATGAACAAGTTTTTAGCATTATGGGGGATCTTATTATCTATGCTCATCTCTTCATAAAAGGAATGGTATACTTGATGAGTTTGGGAGGTTACCGTATCAGTCTCTATCCCTATAAACAATATTGTCCCAGGGTCTAAACCCGTCCCATATATTTGAAACCCAAATAAATTACCATATTTATCTAAGAACTTGTCAGGGTTATTTATAAGTATATGGATTGGATTGCATTCCATAGACTTACAATATGGATCAGTAGGCAACTTAGTCACAATCATGTCCTTGTCTGCTGTCTGTCCCCAAGTCGCCCACCCCACACAAGACCAATATGGGCAGAAGTTATAATCTCTATTTGGGCATCTTGGACTTACATATTTATTTTTACTACTGGGACAAATATATTTATCGTTAGACCCATACGTCCTCTCCCATCTAAGATCCCCACATACATTCCGCGGCTTTCTACCACTTGATATTGCTTTACACGCATCAAATAGCAGAGCACCTGAAGAATATACGGATTTTAATACCGTCTTATTAATTAGGGTCCCCTGAGAATCTCCATTTCTGAGAGTCAACCAAATTGTACGGGGTTGATACTCAGGACTGAAGCACTTAGGTTCTCCTACTCCTAAATGACACACACTATATTCTATATTTAAGTATCTACATCTTGATACATCTCCTTTACACTCACATTGCGAATGCCAAATTAGGGTCTGGGATATATGGTTACCTGTTCTTGTAGTCTTAATGCATACCTCACAGCTAGGAGTGTTGGTACCTCTACCTTCCTGAATATAAAAATACACATAAATAAACATTATTAAAAAATACATCTTTCGTCGTCATCCTCAGTCTTCGTCCGTGTGAAGGCACCTCAGCTTCCAGGATGTAAGGACTGCAGGGAATGGAGTTCTGCTCGTCTTCACAGGGGTCCCCTCAAGACTTTTCCTGACTTATACACTCGTTGGTGAGTGGACAGGCTTTATTATGGCCTTCTCACTCACTTACCAAGTCTCTGAAACAATAAAATTTGTAATCTACAAGGTTCCTCGTCACTCCAACTGAGTCGTGCGTTTTAACCGGATCTTGCAGGGATTCTCTGGATTTGCTGTAACTTGCCAGGAATCGGCTGCTGCTGGTTTAACCCTGGAGTGATGTATCCGCGGAGCCACTTCGGCTACTTTTATCGCTGTAGGGGTAGACAGAAGAACAACATAAGGACCTCTCCACTTGGGCCCTAACGGCACATTATTCCACTCTTTAATCCACACTTGGTCGCCTGGGTGGTAACTATGAATTGGGGGATAAATATTCACAGGTAATCTATCTTGTACCCATTTCTGTACCTCCTCCATAGTCTTACCCAACTCTACAGCCTGCTGCCGGGTAATTCCTTCTCCCAACTGACTCAAATCCCCCCTTAAGTTACCAAGCACGGGAGGTGGTCGCCCGTACATGATTTCAAAAGGAGAGAGGCCCATCCTTCTGGTAGGTGTACTACGGATTCGCAATAGAGCTATGGGCAAGAGAACGTTCCACTTAAGTTGGGTTTCCTGACACATTTTAGCCAACTGATTCTTAATAGTTCTATTCATTCTCTCTACCTTACCAGAACTCTGGGGTCTATATGCCGTATGAAGCCTCCACTTTATACCAAGCATATGAGTCAATTGTTGTAGGCACTGATGAACAAAAGCTGGACCATTGTCCGATCCTATAGAGCAGGGTAGTCCATATCGGGGTATTATTTCTCGTAGCAGGAATCTCACGACTTCTCCTGCTTTCTCTGTACGAGTAGGACATGCTTCTACCCAGCCTGAATAGGTGCACACCACTACCAGCAGGTAGCGATGTCCACCCGATTTAGGCATCACTGTATAGTCAATTTGTAAATCGGACATGGGAAGTCCCCCCATAAACTGGACTCCTGGTGGCTTTACTGGTCCTTGTCTTGCATTATTTTTAGCTCACGTTACACATCTACGTACAATGGCCTGAGTCAAGTTGGACAATCTTGGTATGTAGAAATGTTTTCTGAGAGATTCTTCTGTACTGTCTCTCCCAGAATGTGTCCCGTTATGATAGTTTTGGACAATTTCTACCGCTAGTGATGCTGGAATAACTATTCTTCCATCTTCTAACTGATACCATTTGTTCACCAAATACTTTCCAGGTTCAGTCCTTAACCACTCCTCTTCTTGAGCTGTATAAATTGGAGTCCATTGAGACAGTGGAGTTGGTATAAGAGCAGCTATATGCCCCACATATTCCTGTCTTCCTGATTCAGCAGC